TAACAATCAACCACAGTCAGCCATGTGGGCTTAATTGTCACTGGGTTAAGTTCAACTTTTTACATGTTGTCTTTGCTGTGATTTTCTCCACTTCTGTGGAGACAAGACACACAACTAAAGATGAGTCATGGCAGTGGTGGGATTTGAACCCACGCCTCCAGAGAGACTGGAGCCTAAATCCAGCGCCTTTGACCACTCGGCCACACTACCTCACGGCTGACGATTTAAAATCAGTCTGTGCAGACAGCGACTCTTCCACGGAAATGTCATGATGTCAGTCAAATGTTTTGTTTTAAAGCAACTAAAAGCATGCGACAGCTTGTTTTGTTGTTGCTGTGGCAGCGAGGTTAAGGTGACGAGCCTGAAGTCCATTGTGATGATCCTGTGCAGGTTTGAATCCAGCCAACAATGTCTATTTGAGTGAAGCAAGGATTTGATGATTACACTTTGGACATCTTTCCAATTGGTTAAGCAGAACAGTTATAATAACAGCTAAAAAACGTGGGGGATGTAGCTCAGTGGTAGAGCGCATGCTTCGCATGTATGAGGACTTGGGTTCAATCCCCAGCATCTCCACTGCACAGCATTTTTACGACACACTTTCCAGTGCATAGGCTCAAGTAGCAAAAGTTGCATTCCTTGGTAAATCTGTTCAGTGGACGTTTAGGGCGTGAAGGTCAGTGCTAGAGTGTATTCTGAGCAGGTATGAAGTTCAGTGTTCTATCTCCACGTTCAATTTTATAAATTACACCCTTTGTACACTACCGTTCAAAAGTTTGGGGTCACTTAGAAATGTCCTTATTTTGAAAGAAAAGCACTGTTTTTTTTCAATGAAGATAATTTTAAACCAATCAGAAATACACTCTATACATTGCTAATGTGGTAAATGGCTATTCTAGTTGGTCATGTCTGGTTTATAGACATAGGTGTATAGAGGCCCATTTACAGCAACTGTCACTCCAGTGTTCTAATGGTACAATGTGTTTGCTCATTGTGTCAGAAGGGTAAAGGATGATTAGAAAACCCTTGTGAAATCATGTTAGGACAGCTGAAAACAATTTAGCTGGTTAGAGAAGCTATAAAACTGATCTTTCTTTGAGCAGGTATCTGGAGCATCACATTTGTGGGGTCAATTAAATGCTCAAAATGGCCAGAAAAAGAGAACTTTCATGTGAAACTCAACAGTCTATTTTTGTTCTTAGAAATGAAGGCTATTCCATGCGAGAAATTGCCAAGAAACTGAAGATTTCTACAACGCTGTGTACTACTCCCTTCAGAGAACAGCACAAAAAGGCTCTAAGCAGAGTAGAAAGAGAAGTGAGCATCTTGACCGTACGGTACGCAAGAAGTGTCCATCCAGCCAATCCAACTTGTGGGAGGATTCTTGAAGCGTGGGGTGAAATTTCTCCTGATTACCTCAACAAATGAACAGCTAGAATGCCAAAGGTCTGCAATGCTGTAATTGCTGCAAATGGAGGATTTTTTGACGAAAGCAAAGTTTGAAGGAAAAAATTATTTCAAATACAAATCATTATTTCTAACCTTGTCAATGTCTTGACTATATTTTCTGTTCATTTTACAACTCGTGGTGGTAAATAAAAGTGTGACTTTTCATGGAAAACACAAAATTGTCTGGGCGACCCCAAACTTTTGAACGGTAGTGTACAGTGGTCTCAGTTTGCAAAAGTTACATTGCTTGGACTTAGTTTGCTCGTGTGGAAAGGAAGGGGATGTAGCTCAGTGTAGAATGCATGCATGTATGAGGTTCAATTCCCAGCATCAGCAGTTTGTCTTTAGAGAATCAGACAAATTGTACGTCTGTGTTTACGTGACATTTAACGTAAACGTTTCTTCCTTGTTTGTCATTGCCAGTCTCACATTTTCACTGTGTTTGTCCCAATATGTCATCTTGTAGTGGGCATGTGGTTAAGGTGACAGACTCGAAGTGCATAGAGCGATATTGTCTTTTAAAAAGCAACCACGGCTCAATTTGTCAATGGGTTAAGTTCAAATTTTTACATGTTGTCTTCACTGTGAGTTTACTAGTCTTGACTTCTGTGGACAGGAATAGCACACACACACCACAAAGCCTACCTTGGCTCACCTTGGCAGCAGGGAGCCAACTGTCAGTGGTGGGATTTGAACCCAAGCTTTAATCCAGCA